TTATTTTTTTCTGTTATTTATTTTTATTTGTGTATAAGTGTTTTGCCTGCATGTATGTAATATACCCCATGCATACAGTACCCACTGAAGCCAGAAGAGAGTGTAACATCCCCTGGAACTGAAGTTACACACATTGTGAGCCACCATGTGGGTACTGGGAAGCAAACCTGAGCCTTTACAAGAGCAGACCATGCGCTTAACCACTGCACCATCTCTCCAACCCCTATAAGTTTATTTTAAATAAAAGTTTACAATGAATAATATTTGTATCTAGAGGACATTTTATAAAAAGATGCAGTTCAAGATACAGGGCCTGGTGAGATGACTCAGCAGTTAAGAGGGCTTTCTACTATTCCAGAGGACCTGAATTCAGTTCCCAGCACCCACATAGGCAGGTCACAACCACCTGTGACTCCAGCTTTAGGGAATTTGATGCCTCTCGCCTCTATAGGCACCTGCATTCACATGCATAAGCTTACACACTGACATACACATATACACATAATTAAAAATAAATCTTAATTTTTTTTTACTGTATACCATCACCAAAGAGTTTTTAATTAAATGTGTTTAAAATAAAAGTCTACCTAAAATGAAGAAAATTATAATCCTGGAATTAAATAACTAAGTATAATTAAATTAGTTCAGTTTAAATTAAACAGAGACTTGAATTCATAGAACTTTTCTAACTTTAGCTTTAATATCTCCAAATCTCATATTAAAAAGAAGGCAACAATAAGTAATATCTTGGGTAAACAGAGAAGTTATTTCAAAAGAAAACTAGGACCAGCAAGATGGCTTAGTGGGTAAAGGCTCTTGCCATGCAAACCTGGTAACCAGAGTTCAGTCCCCAGAATCCACATAAAGACTGAGAGGACAGAACCAACTCAACCAGGTTGTCTTCTGACCTATACACACACCATGCATGCACACACATGCACAGAAATAATTTTTTTAATTAAGGAAAACTGGTTTTTTCTTAACTATACTGATACTGTTTTTTTAAAGATCTTAACTGCTAACTCCAATTTTTGGGTTGCTGTGGGTCTGCTTTTATTGTCTAATTTTCCTTGTATTATCAGTTATATGGTCTTATTTCTTCACGTTATTGTAAAAGACTATAAAGAATACTGGTAGCTCCATATAATGTCATCTTCCACTAGAGAGGACTGCACCTTTCCATGTTAGGCTAATCACAGACAGGAGCCGAAACTTCAGCCTAAAGAGAGACAGTGCTGAGTCGCTCAAGGCTGCAGTCTAGTAAGGCTCGACCCCACTGGGTCCACCCTCAATGTGGTCCACCCTTGATGTTTTCCACCCTCGACGTTGAGTGTGGTCTACCAGGGTTCGTGCAGTCGGGAGCTTAACAGGCCATTTATCCCTATGAAAGTCCATTCTGCTCTGGAAGGCTTTCCACTTCTTTATTCTTGAACTTATCATTTCATACAGTTTCACAACTTTACTGTATGTCTCGAGGAGAAACTAGCCAAGTTAAAGTCCTTCAAACCTCCAGTTTTGTCACTCTAGCTTTGAAGAACACCGGAATATCTCCTGACTATGTCTCAGCAGCAGCCTTTCAGAAATGTTGTATTTTGAGGTTCATCAAGGCTAGTTTAGTCTTTCCAGCCCCACGTGAGCATTGTGCGCTCTCATTCTCCAGTGACCACTCTGCCCTGCTCCCTAGATGTACCCTGTGGGGTGAGGGGGGCTGTTGGTTGCTGACCCACTCTGAGCCTCCTTCCTTGTCTTCTGCTTCCTCAAGTGTCGGGTGCTTTAAAAATTATTTTTGTGGGGCTGGAGAGATGGCTCAGTGGTTAAGAGCACTGGCTGCTCTTGCAGAGGATGCAGGTCCAGTCCCAGCACCCACATGGCAGCTTACAACCATCTGTAACTCCAGTTCCAGGGGATCTGATGCCTTCTTCTGACCTTCAAGGGCATTGTATGACACGGGTTCACTTACATACATGCAGGCAAGACACTCAAACATAAAATAAAAATAAATTTTTAAAAAAAATTATTTTTGTGGTGGATGCAATGACTCTCTAATCTTAGTACTCAGGAGACTGAGGCAAGAGATTTGCCAAGAGTTTGAGGCCAGCCTGGACTTCATTGTGAGTTCCAGCCATCCTGAACTATAATGTAAGATCCTGCTGTCCTGCGTCCCTCTACCCTCCACACAGCTTGTAAATTCTTTGACTGTTTCATTCTCAGCAGGAGTGTTGCCCTGCCCTACGCTGCTGTACATACTTTTGCAGGATATGTGTAGATACTGTCCAGAGTCTGCCAAGTATCAGAGGCCTTTTTTTCTTCTAGGTGTAGGAGTGTCCGCCCTCCGTGAGCCCTGGTCTAAAGTAGTAAAAGATACACTTACCTGCACAAACACAGCCTACTCAAGACTGTAATAGAGGTGTGTGCTAGAGGCGGAAGAGAAAGGCAACAAGAGTGAAATTGCAGCGTTTAGAAAACTGCAAGTTTTATAATTTTATATGATTGCAAGTCAGTTCAAGGGGTGAGTGAGGCTGGAGCAGTGGGCAGATGCCTGGCGAGGGCTCTCGTGTGGAAGGAAGCCTTGGTGAAAGCTTCGGTGGCTGTGGAGAGCATGGAGAAAACCTTAAGCATGGAGAAGAGGGTGAGATTTTGAATGATGACTGGTGTCAGTGTAAAGTGTAGATTCAGGAAGCTTTGGCATTCAGGACAAGAGGTTTGGGAGGAAACTGTTGTCAGCCCAACATGAAGTGTGTGATCTCATCATAGTGGCTTAGGACGGTTAGAAAGACGAAGTGAGGAAATGGAGGGGATGGTGGAATCAAGAGGAAGGAGGGAAAACAGAGGCTGATAGCTTGAGTGAGGCTACAAATCACGGAGAAAAGCTTCAACACAGAACATTCTTCATGCTCCCGTCTCCTTAGGCCTGCTGCATTTTCTCATTCAATCTGAGGACATAGCTTGGGACCACCACCCTGATGGACTCCCTCCTTCCCCCTGTTATCTTCATGAAGCTACTAAGAAGGTGAATAAGAGAGATACAGCGCCCCAAGCCATTACCCTCAGCTCACCTTTTTTTGAGTTTGGTGTTTCATGACTAGACATCCACCTAAGCACTTTATTTGGCACACGCCTTTAATCCTAGCACTCAGGAGACAGAGGCATGGATCTCTGTGAGCCTGAGGCCAGCCTGGTCTACACAGTGAGTTCCATGCCAGCTGGGTTACAGGGAGACCCTGTCAGAGAGAGAGGGGGAGAGGGAGAGAGAGGGAGAGGGAGAGGGAGGGAGAGAGGGAGAGGGAGAGAGAGGGAGAGGGAGGAAGGAGGAAAAGGAAAGCAAAGCAAAAGGAGATGCAGAGCCCCAGACCACTGCCCTGAGCTCAGCTCTTCTTGAGTTTGGTCTATTTTATGCTCTGGACATCTACCTGAGCATTTTATTTGAAGAAAGTTTCCCATGCTGAAGGAAAAAAGTGCCATTGTTCTCCTTCTACATTCATCTTCCTGTCTTAGGTCTCTTTTTGTTTGTTTGTTTGTTTCCTTTCTTACTCATTAATTCAGGGACCAGTACCTCAGGTAGGAGATGCCACAGCAACTTCTGGATCTCCAGTGTGTGAGCCAGTACCAAGGGGTATCAGTTCTTGGCTACACTTGTGGCACCCACACTTGGCTTTTTCCTAGTCTGGATTAAGAATGATTTGAACTTCTTCCTTTCCCTAGCTTCATGGGGCCACAAAGACCAGGAGGGTTTGCACCAAGAAGCCTTGCAGAGTCCAGCGGTGCCCTTCCTCTCAGGGTCTGTAGAACTCAGTGGGCCAGACTCTCCAGGGTGTCTTCCCTCTCTGGATTCACAGGCACAAGCCAGCACGGCTCCTAGAATGACAAGGTCTTGGCCCACACACACCAGGCTCTTCTGGCCCACCAGTCCCATGGCACTAGATTCAGGAGTCCTCACTCATGCAGGTAGTGATGACCAGCAGGGGCCTTGTCATCTTTTCAGAAGCCCCCAGAAAGCAGAAGAAAAAAGAGCGAGCCCACCAGACTGATCACTAAGCCTCCCTCCAATGCCAGCATTTTACAGTTGTGCACATTTATAGTCTCTAGCTTCGGCTCAATTCTTAGTACCCTTGGGCCACAGTTTTATGTCTTCCCAGCATGCTCTTGTTTTCCCAGAGGGAATATTTGAGACTTTTACTTCTTTCCACAAGCTCTGTGCTTATTCCCCTTCTTGTTCACTGTCACTCCATGACTTTGAATTTCTCCTCACAGACAAAAGAAAGGCTCTTGGATGTTAAGTTGCTCGACTTCTTTTACCTCCAAGCCTGTCTACTTTGCTTCCCTACTTGCTATCCATCTGGATGGAAAGGCAGGATTCTTCTGGCATCTCTTCTCCCATGTCAGTGACAGTACACACTCCTGGCTTTCCTCTCTGGGCACACCCTTCTTCCTTTAATGTTGCTGTCAGTCTCGCCCTGCTCTGATCCTTCCCTCACATTACCAGCTACACAAAGGTGATCATATCCCCACACACCCTGAAACCACCCCCAATGACAAGAGCAGCCAAAAAGGAAGTCAGAATTGAAGTGCAGAGAGGAATCGATTGCAGAGGGCATGAGAGAACCTTCTGGATTGCTACAGACATTGTCTTTCTTGCTTTGGATAGCGCTTACCCAGGTCTGTACATACATGAACACTCACTGACCTGATCACCAGGACAGTGTGTTTTATTCTTTATATATGTCTACTTGGACAAGGAAAAACTTTCAGCAGGCCAGGTTAGACCCCAACTCCCCAGACTACGCCGCAGATTTCTATGAGTTCTTTCCCAGATCATGGGTCAGGCATGTCCCTAAATTGGGGGCACTTGAAGAATGGGAGCCAGTTCTTTTCGGTTTCTTTACTCCCTAGGCATTGGCTGGCACACAGGTGCCCGTGAATTAATGAATGTACTTCACTTTGAATTTGCTTTGAGCTTGACCTCTTTACTGAGAGAAGCTTCCCTCCTCTCCTGCCTACAGGATGTTTCCTTAGTGAAGAATGAGTAATGGCCGTGTTTGATACTCCTGAGGAAGCCTTCGGCATCTTGCGTCCAGTCTGTGTTCAGCTCACAAAGACCCAGACGGTGGAGAATGTGGAACACCTGCGGACACAGTTGCAGGCTGTGAGTGACGCTGCCCTGCAGGACCTGCAGCAGTATGTCCTCTTCCCCTTGCGATTTGCCCTGAAGACCCCGGGTCCCAAGAGGGAGCGCCTGCTCCAGAGCGTGGTGGAGTGCCTCACCTTTGTCCTCTCTTCAACATGCGTAAGAGAGCAAGAGCTTCTCCAGGAGCTCTTCGCAGAGCTTTCTGCCTGTCTGTATTCACCCAGCTCCCACAGACCCGCAGCTGTGTCAGAGGAGTTGAAATTGGCTGTGATCCAGGGACTTAGCACCTTAATGCACTCGGCCTACGGGGACATCATTCTAGCTTTTTATGAGCCCTCTATTCTGCCTCGTTTAGGATTTGCTGTGTCTTTACTGTTGGGCTTGGCAGAGCAGGAGAAGTCAAGACAAATTAAAATTGCTGCCTTGCAGTGCCTACAGGTTCTCCTCCTTCAGTGCGATTGTCAGGACCATCCAAGGCCCTTGGGGGAGCCGGAACAGCAGCAGTTGGGGGACTTACTGGCTTCTTTCTTACCTGGAATCTCAACTGCACTGACCCGGGTCATCACAGGAGACTTTAAACAAGGTCACAGCATTGTCGTGTCTTCCCTAAAGGCCTTTTACAAGACAGTGGGTTTCATTATGGCTGATGAACAGCTCAGAAGGATCCCTAAAACTCAGGCAAAGCCTACAGTTGAACACAGAATAGCAGACCTGATGGTTCATAGGGAAGCTGACTGGGTAAAAAGTACTGGCAACAAGTTGGCAATCCTTATTAAAAAGATAATTGGTTGTGTTTCAGTTCACCCACACTGGAAGGTGAGGCTGGAACTGGTAGAATTTGTGGAGACCCTTCTTTCCAAGTGCAGTCAGTCCCTGGTTGAATCTGCAGGGCCCCTCCTAAAAGCTTTAGTGGGTCTAGTGAATGATGAGAGCCCTGAAGTCCAGGCCCAGTGCAATAAAGTGCTAAGAGGCTTTGCAGATCAGAAAGTAGTGGTGGGCAGCAGAGCATTTGCTGACATCCTGTCAGAAAGCCTGCATTCCCTTGCCACATCTCTTCCTCGCCTAATGAACTCACAAGATGATCAGGGCAAATTCTCTACCCTTTCCTTGTTACTTGGGTATCTGAAACTTTTGGGCCCCAAAATAAACTTGATTCTCAATTCTGCGGCCCATCTCCAGCGCCTCTCCAGAGCACTAGTTCAAGTTTTAGAATTAGATGTGGCTGATGTCAAAATTGTCGAAGAGCGGAGCTGGAACTCTGACAACCTGACTGCTTCCCTGACGGCCTCACCTGCACAGCCATGGAACCGAGTCCAGAGGAGATACTTCCGCTTCTTCACTGATGAGAGGGTTTTCCCGCTCCTGCGGCAGATTTGTCAGCTACTTGGTTACTATGGGAACCTTTATTTGCTTGTGGATCACTTTATGGAACTGTACCATGAATCTGTGGTTTACCGGAAACAAGCCGCCATGATCCTGAATGAACTGGTTATAGGGGCTGCAGGGCTGGATGTGGAAGATATTCACAATGGATGTCCAAAGATAAGCCCAGAGGACCTGAGAGGGACTGTGACATCTATACTTGAAGAATACACAAGCCAAGAAAACTGGTACTTGATTACCTGCATTGAAGCTGAGGAGGGCGAGGAGGAAATGATGAAGCAGCCAGGCCCTCAGGCCATCACATCTGGTGTACACACCTGCCAAGTTGTGTCTTTTCCAGCCTTGTCAAAGCCAAGTCCCACTATTTGCTCCATGAATAGTAACATCTGGCAAATATGCATCCAGTTGGAAGGGATTGGCCAGTTTGCATATGCATTAGGAAAAGACTTTCATTTGCTCTTGATGTCAGCTCTTTATCCAGTACTGGAGAAGGCTGGAGACCAATCCTTGCTCATTAGTCAGGTGGCTACCAGCACCATGGTAGACATTTGCCATGCTTGTGGCTATGACTCCCTGCAACACCTGATCAATCAAAATTCAGACTATTTGGTGAATGGCATCTCTTTAAATCTGCGTCACCTCACTCTACACCCTCATACCCCAAAAGTTTTGGAAGTCATGCTGAGGAACTCAGATGCTAGCTTGCTTCCTTTGGTGGCAGATGTGGTTCAAGATGTCTTGGCCACCCTGGACCAGTTTTATGATAAGAGAGCTGCTTCCTTCGTCAGTGTTCTGCATGCCCTGCTGGCAGCATTGGGTACAATGAAACCTTTTTTCATGCCAGTTTGGGGAATCCTAGTTTGCACAGTTTGTAGGTGTTCTATGGGGGACATTGGAAAGGTTGTCCCTCCAATCCCACAAGGGATGGTAGGGCTCCATTGTTTATACTTTGAATAATTTCTGCTGTTTATTGAACTCCTGCTCTGTGCCAGGGGTATGAACTATAGAGATTAAGTATAAAGAGTGTTTTTATTTTATAAATAAGAAAAACCAAGACTCATAAGAGCCTGCTTAACCAGGGTCACCTAATTAATAAGGGATAAAATTGGATTTATAAGTTTTATCCTTTCCAACATACCAAACTGCTGCTGCTGCTGCTGCTTAGAGTTGGCAGTGTCTGGGCTACTGGAGAACAGAAGTAGCAGGAGCCATTCAGCCCACGGGTAGCCAAAGTGAAAGAAAGATAAAACTTTCTTTGCATTTTTTTCTTTGAGTGGAGGGTGGCTCTGGGAACTGAGCTCAGCCTGCCCATGCTAAGTAGGCATTCTACCCTTGAGCTACATCCTCAACCCGTTAATCGAATTTTCGGTGATGATGGTAATGCTCCATGTCTTTGGATCCAGCACAGTAGCCAGCAGCCATCTATGACTAGTACTACCAGGGAGTTAAATTTTTGGTTTGGGGCTTTTTTTTATTGTTCTTTCCAGATAGGGTGTTACTCTGTAGTGCAGGCTGCCTTGGAACCTGCTTTGTCGCCAGGCCCAAAACTTGCAGCAGTCTTCCTGCCTCAGCCTCCTGAATGCTGGGATGACAGATAGGGACCACCATGCCCAGCTAGGGCTGGAATTCTCATAGCCACATGTTTAGCTGCCCTACTGGATGGAACTTTTAACTTTAATTGTGTGAGTTGGCTTAAGTTTATGTTCTCCTTTCTGATCCTGTTGGGTGCCTGCTGGACATGTTAACCACCATGAGCATGGCAAGATTCTGTACATGAGAAAAAGAGTCAGGCTTGGTGGTAGCACACCTGTAATCCCAGCGCTAATGAAGCTAAAGCAGACAGATCATATATTCAAAGCCAGCCTGGGCTACATAGTAAGACCTTGCTTTAAAAAAAAAAAAAAAAAAAAAAAATTCTGGGGACTGGAGAGATGGCTCAGTGGTTGAGAGCACTGGCTGCTCTTGCAGAGGACCTGGGTTTGGTTCCCAGCACTCACATAGTGGCAAACAGCCATCTATAACACCAGTTCCAGGGAGTCCGACGCCCTCGTCTGACCTCCATGGTCATTGTATGACAAGGGCGTACCTATCTACATGCAGGCAAGATACTCATATACATAAAATAAAATAAAATAAAATTTTAAATCCTTCAACTAAGAAGTAAGGGATTTCCTCAGGAAAGGTGACTGGGCCAGGCACTGTGCTGTACCCTGGGTGACATTATTTCCACCTTCATTCAGGCATGAACGTTCACGTACAATGAACATTTTCTTCACTCAATGAAGAATGCCTGCTTTATGTCAAATGCTGTGTTAAGTAATGAGGATACAGCAGTGAATAAGATAAACCCCTGGAGCTTTCCTACTAGTGCAAAAGAGATGATAAACAAGTAAACAAATCATTTTAAACAAGCTCTGATAAGCACCTGGTAGGAAATTAACACCTTGATGCTAGGGAGTAACAGGGATAGGCTTAGTCTAGAGGACCTCTCTGGAGAAGTAATCCTAAAGTTGAGCCCTGAAGGCTGAGAAGGGCCCACCTATCATTATAGGGCTGCCAAGCTGTTTTTATGCTTGCTAAGAACACTCAGGCAAAGGGAAAAGCAGATGTGAATGCCCCAAGGAAAGACAGGGCTTAGGGTGTTTGAGAGTGGAGAAGAGGTCACCGGAGAGTGCAGTACAACATGAAATTGGACAGAGGACAAGTCCTATAGGGGCGGGTAGGCCAAGGAAGAAGTTTGGTCTTGGCTTTGCAGTCACTCATAAGCCTATGGTGTGAGTCAGCTAGGACAAAATACCTGAGAAAAAGCCAGCCTCAAGGAGAAAAGGTTTATTTTGGCTCCTGGTCTTTTAGGAGTTTGGGAGGTTTTGGTCCAAGGTAAGCTGATCAGTTGCTTTTTGGGACTGTGGCAAGACAGAAACATAATGGCAGAGGCATGGTAGAGAAAAATTGTTCATGTCTTGGCAGCCAGGAAGCAGAGGCAGAGGGAGAAAAGGGACCTGTGAAGATACACCCTCCCCAGGCACAGCTGGAAGGGTTACTTCCTCCTCCTAGACCCCAGCTCCTGTAATTGCCACCATCTCCCAATAGCACCAACCAGCATAGGGACATGAGCTTTGGGGGACATTTTGAATCTAAATCATAACACCTGTCTTGTGGTTAACAGTCAAGGCTTGGATGCTGTGAACCAGACCAGACCCTCCCCCCACAGGCCCCGCTGCCCTGACAGACCTGCTAAGAGAGCTAGCAGCTTAGGCATTGCAGACCCAGACCAAGACCAGAGTCTATAGGCCAGTGCCCGACCTGTGCCACACTGTGGGCAATACTACATTTCAACCTGAGGTGGAAATAAACATTTCACACAAAAAAAATATGTCCTCTCAGGAGATACTTCAATTTGGGTTTTGAAAATTGAATTGTCTTAGATTTCTGATGTCTTTGGTCATCTCTGAAGAAGGAAAGTCAAAGCCATTTCAAGTGGAGGAGTGAGGCAGAAAGGAAGGTAGGGATGGTTGGGACTTGCTGGAGTATCCTGCGGGAGGGCATAAAGCAAAATTAGAGATAGAATTTCCACAAGTTTTGAAGCAATGCAAAATGTACTTGGATTTTTTTTTCTTAAAATTTTTTTATTTATTGCCAGATGTGATGGTGCACACCTGTAACCCTAGCACTTAGGAGACAGGGACCGGTGGATCTCTGTATTATCGAGACCAGCCTGGTCTACATAGCAAGTTCCAGGCCAGCTGGGGCTACAAGGAGACCTTGTCTCAAAAACAAAAATTTTTTTTAATTTATTTGTTTTGCCTACATGTATGTTAAGTGTACTCATGTTGTGCGGTGCCCTCAGAGGCCAGAGAAGGGCATCAGATCCCCTTTGAACATGGAGTCCACTGCCATGTGGACTGGGAACATTCTGAACTCGGGTCCTCTGCAAGAGTAGCCAGAGTTCTTAACTGCTGAACCATCTCTCCAGCCCTGACACTTGCATTTTGAATAGTAAGTAGTAGAGTTGGTAGTCACTCCAGATCAAAGTGGCACTTGATTCTGGCATTTCTGTGTGTCATCAAATTGTCAAACTGATGACCTCTCTTAAGATGAGAATGGAACTTCTTTCAGAGAACTTCTGAAAGGTCTTGAAAGAACTTGGTACTTGTTTTGGGGAGTTGAGTTACCAGTGCATGCACATTCCATTTGCATTGAGTAAAGCTGTAGGTGCTGGTGAGGGTGGGCATTCAGGCAGATCACTTCTGAGCAGCTACTGATTGGCCCATCACTCATAGCAAGGTAAAAAATAGGATCACCTCGAAAATCAGCAAGTCTTCCTGTCACTTACTGCAGTACTGGGAGAGTAAGTTATATGCACACAGAGGCCCTCTGTTTCTTATGATCTCATCACATCCCACTATGTGGTGGCACTCTAATCAAGACCTTTCTTGGTTGTTGTTTCCATTGTTTCTTTTGCCACCACACAAAAAAAAAAATCTTGCACTGGCCATCGTTTGAGCATGCCTTCAATAGATCAGTAGGATAAATTCCTGAAAGAAATGCTGGTTCAAAGAGTATTACATTTAAATTTTTGATTGAGAGTATCAAATTGCTCTCCTAAGAGGTTGTGCAAATTTAAACTCCATCAGCAATGTGAGAGTGCCAATTTTGTCACGCCCTCACCCACACTATTACCAAGCTTTTGATCTTTGCTAATCCAATAGGGGGAAAATAGCACTTTATTATAGTTTTAATTTGCATTAAAAGTGCGGTTGAGCTTCTTTTCATATGTTTAGAACCTCTGCTGTAAGCACAGCAGTGAAAACACTGGGGCTGGGATTTAACTGTTTGAGAACCAATACCTTAGAGTGCTCCCAGTGCCTGATTTACCCCCTAGGAATGGGGCACTGAAGGAATGGCCTACCTACCCTATGTATAAGGACCCTCCAGATACTGAGCAGAGAGTTGTCCTCTCAAGCAGGTGCTCCCTCTGCTCCCAGTTGCTTGGCTGCTGGCATCTCCCATCCCCTGTCACTTTGGCTCTGGGCAGCCACTCCTTGATGAAAGGGAGATTAGCAGGTGCTAAAGGTGGTCAGTCTTTTCCCTGATGTCTGCAAACAAGGGCACTGGACCAGAGTAGCAACTGTAGGCTATAGAAGGGGTGGGGATTACTGATTTATTCTTTAAGTATTAAGAACCTTTTTTCAATTAAAAAAACTTTGAGGTAACCCCAGATTACAAGAAAGGTTGAAATTAGAGCTACTGTAGTTGAATAAGGAATTTTGACCCTATGAGGGACACCACAGACGTGCATCATCCTGACTTGCTGCCTCCTGGTCCCCTCCCTGTTGTGATTGCAGCAGAAGCCTAAGGCCCCTCAGGGCACCATTTGAAAACCACTGGAGTGGTTTAAGGTTTATTCTGTGGTGACAAATCTGAGCGAGGCATTGGAGCATCACGAGCAAGTGGCCAACCTTGTGGAGCATTTTCTTTCAGAATCTAGTGTGGGACTGTCCATTCTCATGGGTGTGCAGAGCCTGGCTTCTGCTACTGAGGAGTGTACCTGTCCTCAGATTGTGTCATTTGGACTTGTTCTCAGTCTTGTGTTTTTTTCATTCAGCCTATGTTTTGAGTACCTACCCTATGCTGTAGGCATATTAGAATCTAGAGTTTCCAGGGGAGATTCAGATACCAAAGAGTACACAAAAAATAAATATAAAGCCGGGTATGGTGGTGCACGCCTTTAATCCCAGCACTCGGGAGGCAGAGGTAGGCAGATCTCTGAGTTCAAGGCCAGCCTGGTCTACATAGTGAGTTCCAGGCCAGCTGGGGCTACAGGGAGACCCTGTCTCAAAAAGACAAATAAATAAATAAATAAATAAATAA